GACAAGTTTTGGGCTAAACACGGAGAGCAATTAATTTGGGCATCTTGGATCGAAAAATATGCTGATTATATCAATCCCGAGTATTTTCAAAATAATGCACGCACAACAGAAGACGAAAAATCGCAGGATGCAGAGATTAATGAAGTAGCCATAGAAAGATATTATGAGCAAAATACATGTTTCCCATCACAAGCGCATAAGAATTGCGAACTTGTACGTTCTAACTTTGCAGGAATTTTTAATAAGAGTTATTCGAGCGACAGCGAACTAAAACCAGCAGCCATATCTTCTTCGAATACTAGCTTTTCATTTGAACAAGTAAGCAGGCAAGAAGTTCATGATAAAGATGCAGACGAAAATAGGAAAAAAATCCTCAATTTTGAGATATCACCGGAAGATGGTGATGGTTGGAATCCGTTAAGCCCACTTAGTATAGAAGAAAATTATAACCATCAATCTAATGCAGAAGATGAAAGGTTACTAATGAGATGTGACTCTGTTAATGGCTCAATAACGAAAACGAATGCAACTTCCGATTCCATGACTAACGTTACCAAAATGACGTTAACTAGTTCCAGTTGTGATTCCAATTCCGTTCATTCGTCTAGTCTCGTCACTTCCGTCACAAGTTCCATAGAAAGCAGCATGACTAGTAGTTCCGAGGAAAACGAATTTTCAGTGGAAGACAACGACAAATATTGGCAGCATTTATGGAAGGAAAATTTTGAGACGCAATATCAAAAACAGTACGAATTGTTCATAGCTAATTATAAAAAAGAGCACAACATAGACTATAATCAATTAGATTTTAACATATTGAATGAGCCATGTGGTAATTCATTGAATGAACAATGTGATAATTCGATCTTACTCCGACAAGATGAGGTGGCGCTGCAGTGTCAACAGGGCAGACATAGCGAAGATCCTTTAGAGATTCACACCCACATGAGTGAAAAAAACGAGAACGTGGATTCTGTACAAACTTACTTATTACCAAATAAAGTAATTATCGAAAATAAAAACTCGCGAAAGGGCAGCGTATCAGCGAAATCCAAGAGCACAGAGAAACATAGAACACAAAGACTGATTATGGATTCAGTAGGCGTGCTTATGAAGAATTTAACAATAAGGGCAGAAGAGAATAAATCGACTGATGTTGTTGAGGAAGAAGAAATGCACGAAAAATCACAACAGATTCATACTCAAGATTCGATAATTACTGAAAGCAAAATGGAAATAATTGATTCCAATAGCGATTTTAACAATAGTCATCAACAAAAGTCTTCTGATGGAGGAGATGAATTCTACGAAGAGGTTCAAGAAATTTATAGACAAAGGTAAACAGTGTAATAATGATATAGTAATACATTGATATATATGTAGTATAACAACGATATCATTGCTTGCTTGTGTGGCGTCACAGATTAGATGTAACTAATTATTTTCTGTTATATAGCAATCAAAATTAAATAAATATAAGTATAGTAGAATATATAAAATTTATCTTTCTTTTTTTATTTAGTCACAAGGCTGATTGTAATGATAATGAAGATGGTTTAGAAACTGTGAAAAAAGCCTTTTCATTAATGGGTTATGCCAATTTAATCGAGAATGAAAACCAAAGAAAATTGCAAGGCGAAGTTGTTTATCGGAAACGTAATATTAGACGGCAAAGTTTCCAATTAATGGCGGAATTAAAACGGTTAAAAACTAAATATAAATGCACTCTTGATGATGCAGAAACACTCGTCAAATACACAAATAAGGTAAAATTTTTTTCTTAATATATTTGGTAGATTTATGTATTTCACATATTATTATGTAAAGTAAGTTTTAGCTTTTTGTTGTATATTTTTCAATATTATTTAAATTTCTAATTATACTACTGCATGTATTATATATTGAAGCAGAAAGAGAGATGACATGCCCTATAATATTATAAATATTCAATTCGATTTTATATTCAAATATCTATGTTCTACACGATTAGATGTTATTGAAAGAAAGAGGAAAGAGAGAGAAAATATATATAAAATAACTAAAAAACAAAACATCTATTGCTAACTAAAAAAGTTCTTAGGAAATATTCTTTCTTATTAAATACTATAAAGAATTCTAAATAGAAATTTTAAAAAGGATGGGAAAAGTATTAATGTATTCTTTGTAGCTGCACTGTTACAGTTTCTATATTTAAAATAAAATGTGTATAATATTAATCATTGGGGAAAAAAATAAAATGATTAACAGTATAAAAAGTTTATTTGCATATAAAAGTATGAAGGTAGAGGTACCAAAAAAATCATAGTTTATGAAATATTTAATATTTCATGTTAATGTGTTAGGATAAAGTATAAAATATCTCGTAAATTATTGATTTTTTTGGTATATCTATTTTAATAATATTTATATGCAAAATAATTAGAATAATCATATTATATATTTCATTAAAAAAAAATAAAGCAAAATCTTGTAGATACGTCCACCAAGAAAGGATCTGTGACCAAAGATATCTCCCTTGAAACAAAATGAGTCCCATACTTGAAATTGATTTTTTAGAATAATGATAGGAGAGATAATTGTGTTCGCTCCAAATAGAACACCCTATATAGTATATGTAACGTCTATTATATTACAAACCTTTCGCATTTTTCAAATTTACTTGTTTCCTTTTCAAAGCCTATTTCATTTTCTTGGATAGCAATAAAGCATATAATGGTTCTGCGTTTAGCGCACTCAACAGTTGAGTGAGTGCTCGCTTGTATTGTATTCTTTTAGATCGTCCAATTAGCATTGTAGATCTGGAAGAATACATCAATAGCAGCTAGTGCTCACTCAATTATTGAATCCGCTGAACGCAGCCATCCTTTATCCTTATTTTCATTCGATAAACAAGAATAGTGATATGTCACGTGTTTTACACGGAACGTAACCTTTAAGTACAGAAAGGGCAACATAGTGCAGCTATAACAAGAAATAGAGACCTATCTTTAGCTGAACTTTCTGCGCTGTTTGGCGAGAGAGCGAGATAAAAAAGTTTTAGTACAGTTGAGTGCAACGATAAACAACACGTTTATCGTAAATTGTTGTGTTTTTTAAGTTTCAACATGAAACGTATACACGAGTTGACGACATGTGAATGTGAACCAGTAGAGAAACGAAAAAAGAAAAGAGAAAAAAACGTAGGCTATGGCATCACTCTCGTCTCGTGATATCTTTCGATCGTCAAATTTTTTATACCGTTTTTTTTTTAAATTATAGACAAACAAGTATTTGTCTTGTGATCCAGCATCAATACCAGCAGAAATCGATGTGCAATCTAATGATAAAGGTTCCTACACAAAGGTACAATCTGCTCTTACGTCGAGTTCGGATGATGAAGATAGCATAAAGATGATGCAAAGAAAAAAAAGAAGGAAGCAGTTCAAAAGGTTAAATAAAATCATTCCGAGAGAGATAGCCAATGATTATAGGTTAAGAAAATATTATTTCAAACGATTTGGTCTCTTCAGCAGATATGAAGATGGAATTAAATTAGATCGAGGTATGTATATGTATCTCTATGTATGTTTTTTAAAATGATAGATTTATTTATATACATATAATGCAATATATATATATATATATATATGTAATATATAAAATGATAATCTATTTTTTTTTTTAGAGAGTTGGTTTTCTGTCACACCAGAGGAAATAGCAAAGGATATAGCAGAAAGATGTAGATGTGATACAATTATTGATGCATTTTGTGGTGCAGGCAGCAATGCTATTCAATTTGCATTTACATGTGAAAGAGGTATATTTATCTATATAAAACTTTGTTAAACAAAAATATATTTACTGATTGTATTTTACAGTAATTGCCATAGACATCGATCCTGATAAAATTAAGATCGCTCGGCATAATGCAGGAATTTATGGTGTGGATGATAGAATAGAATTTATTACTGGAGATTTCCTGCAATTAGCACCGCAGCTGGTTGCAGATGTCGTGTTTTTGAGTCCGCCATGGGGCGGTCCTGATTATATAAAAAGAAAAGTATTTGATCTCGAAAGTATTATGCCTCCCATTGGTGGAAGAAGTATATTCGAAGCAGCAAGAAGAATCACTCAACATGTGGCCTATTATCTTCCTAGAAATTCAGATCCTCTGCAGGTAGACAATATGTTTATAATAATGTAATAATTAAATAATTTAATTGAAATTTTACCATATAACTTGATATTTGTGTCTATAAATAAAAGTGTATAATTACAGATTATAATGTTAACTGAAAAATATGACAAAGTGGAAATTCAACAAAACATGTTCAATGGGAAGTTTACTGCTTGTACAGCGTACTATGGTGAATTGGCCAGGACGTAATTTAAGTGATGAAATAAGAAATATTTTAGTTCACATTTTTTCAGTTATTTCGACTTGCTTATCAGAACTAAAATCGTGATACATTTCTTTTTTCAGTTAAGAAAATATTTTAACTCGACTCTGAAAACTGATGTACTATATACTTGGAAGGATAATGTAATTTATATTTTACAACTTCCAAATTCTATTAACTTACATTTTTTATGTACGTTCTTCCATATATACATATATAATTTTAATTTTAATAAATATATCTCTAAGAAAGTACGATATATTTAAAATTTTTTATTATTTAAGATTTCGCGAAATTTTTAAATGAAACAATGTGAATTACTTAATTTTTATTTGTAATGGAGAAATGTATTTACAATGTTCATGTGAAATGAAACAAAAAAATTCGAATATGGCAAAATAAAGTTTTTGAAATAGCAGAAAAATAATGGATCTGAAATAATTTTAATATACCATACATTATCAGATTGTACAATAAGTTGTAATTTGATTAGTAAGAATAAAAAATGGAAATCATAAAAAATAGTAAAAACATTTTCGAAATTCTGTAACAATTTATTTTTAATTTCATTTTTTAAAAATTATAGTTATTAAAAACATTCTCGAATTTAAATCAGAATTAATTCTACAATATACATTTCCACACAAAAAAAATATCACATAAATTTCCATCAAGACATTAATCTTATTGCTTTTTTTGAAAAAATTAATAACATTGACTAGCTTTTTTTACTTGTTTGTTATCATAATGTATAATATTGTGTCACTTGCTTAATTGGAGGACATTTCATTCGGCACTATTTTATATATTGTAAATTTCACGAATCAATATCGATATTTGTTACATTTGTTTCTTCAATATCACTAGTTGCTATGTTTGTCTCTTCAATATCAATAGTTCTAATACTTCTTTCTTCAGGTTCTGCAGGTATTGTTATACCACCAGTGTCTATACTTTCTTCTTCTTCTCTAGGAATTTTTAAGAAGCAATGCATTGTCTCGTCATCTTCTTGCTCAATAGAATCGTTTTTGTTTAAACTTTCTCTTGTTGATAATGAACCTTGAAGATGTTTCGATGGTATTTGTATCGTGATGGTTTGAGAAGTGCCATCAGCAGACGTTGAGGAAGACATCAAATTAGCTTCTAATGTATCTCCATCTTTCGAAAAGGCACCCAAACAGCTATAAACTAATTGCGCTGCCGCAATGTTACCGGGAAAGACTTCGACATTCTCGTTATCTGCATGTAAAAAAAGCAGTAAAGAAGTTTAAATAAAGATATCTACTAAATAAGAATTGCAAGCAATTCAACAAATTTTAATGTTACCTTTTTTTTGTACATTAGATTTTATTAAACCTTTTTCATGGTCACCTAAGTGCTGGATGTAACTTTCATTTTTGACCGTTTTAAAAGGACATAGATCGCATGTAAATAAGCCAGACAGCAAAGGATGCCTCGATTTTAAATGATTTTTATAACTGCTGCTCTGTATCGCGCTATATGAGCAATGTGGACATTTATACGGTCGAAATCCTGTGGCGTAAGAAATTAAATTACTCCATAATAATTAATTTTTATAATATAACTCACCTGTGTGTTGCATAATATGCCGTCGTAAGGTATTGTGATCTCCAGTTTTGTAATCGCAAATCTCGCAGCTGAAAGGTTTATCTCCTGTATGTTGACGCAAATGCATTTGTAACATTGCCTTTCTGGCACTAGCATGACCGCAAACGTTACAAACGTATGGACGTAACTTGGAATGAACAGCTTGAATGTGATTCTTTAAACATTTTGAATTCGCATATGTTTTACCGCACATATCGCATGTCTTAGAAGTATACCATCGAGTTACTTCTAATGTTTTGCGATCTAAATGCATTATGCGATGATTACGTAACTGGCTAGCTTGTTTGAAACATTTCTCGCAATCGGGACATTTGTAATCGCGAGTGTCACTGTGTACCCTCATGTGCGTTAAGAGTTTTACCATAGTAGCACTTTTGTAGACTTTACAAATTTTACAGGTAAACAAGCCTATGTCTACATAAAAGAGAGTACATAAAAATGTGAATTTTTCAACTTTTTTTTATATTATTTATTTTATATGTACAAACCAATTTGGTGCTTCTTCCATAAATGCAAATTACATTGGCGCCACTTCGTAAACTTCATATCTCGACATATGGTGCATTTAAATGTTGTTGCAGTTTCAGATTCTGTATGGTAAAGAATATGTTGCTGCATAATTTCTTCCGAGGCAAATTTGTATTGACAGCCCTGATAAGAACACCTTGCGAAAATTGCACGTTTAAATATAACAAATAAAAGATTTCTTCTACATAATATATATTTTTTGGAAAATTACATACTTGACATTTCTTTCCGCTGACTCTATCATTTTCCTGTTACGCATATATTCTGAATTTAAGGTCTTTGAAATTTTTACTGGATCTTTTTCCACTTCATTGCTTTCGATATGTTGAGCCTCATGTTCAGTTATCAAGCTAGGATTCGTTAGGTCTGTCAAATTTTCTTTTCCAGCCTCATCACTCGCAATGTCTGTTAATTGATGATCCTAGAAGAAATTTCTATCATATCATCCAGATAAAAGTAGCCTACCTTTCAAAAATTAAAATTTAAGATGATTACATTAATCATGTGTTCTTTACAGTCCTCAAAAGAATGGAAGCAGTTGGAACACTCCGCACACATATAAACTATTTTTACTTCATCCATTTTAGATTCTTCCTTTGGCTATATATAATAATAAAAGTAAGCCAATTTTTATATTGCATTATAAGCTTCTGCTAAGCAAGATACAGTTACTTTGATTAAAATTGTGTGAACTACAGTTGGCGTCTAGAGATCTACTTACTGTAATATCTATAGTAGAATTTAAATGTAGTTTCTGAATATGATCTAATAATTGCATCTTGTCCTGAGACAGGTAAGTACACATCTTGCATTTAAAAGCAGTCACAACTTCTAAGAAATCATCGACGTTAACGTTGTCATCTTGCCCAACGAGATCTTTCACTGCTTCCTCTGTAGCGACTTCGTATTGCTCCTCAGATTGTCTGTATGGACTTTCGATTACTATATTTTCATTCTTGATATAATCATTTTCGTTATTTTCCATATTCTTTGACATCAAGAGTGCCTTTTCATTGTAACTCGTTTGTTCTACAGATTGCAGGTTGGTACCCACCTCTTCAATCACTCCATTTTTAATTGCATACACCTGTCCATTCAAACACACTAATGAAATCGGTTCTTCTCCACTGTCCAATTCACTTCCCTTAGCAATATCAACTGTAGTTTGTTCTTCACTCACTGCCGAATTCTTCATAATGTCTGTCGGTGATGGTGCAAGTTTGTAAATGTATCTTGTACCATTTATGTCATAGCTTAAGTAGGATATATCATTCATTTCTTCACTCATTGTTGATGAAGAATCGTAGAATAATCTAATTAAGTGTCAACCAAACGTTCCAAGATATTTACACAATTAACTAGAATGTTACTCGCAACACAATTTTCAATCCATGAATCACTTCGGCTAAAATCTGTCGTAATATCCTTTTTTCTTGTTCTTAACAAAAATTCTGATTTCATGTTACATCTTATATAAACTTTGTTATATATAAATAGATTAATATTATGAGTTCCAATTTAGAATTTAAACAGTCCTCAGAGACGGTGAACGCGATAAATTACACGGATTCGTTTCAATATTCGCTAATTATATCCATCGCGAAATACGCGTAAATATCCAAATGTATGTTCATATATGTACATGCAACATCAATACGGAATGATGAGGTTATCTCTGCGAACTCGAGGCACTATTCGAGACACGTTTCCGTCTCCGCGGAGACAAATCGGATACCACGCGCGATGAAGTTGAAGCGAGGAGAATGAGAAGATGCATTCGCGAAGATATTCGAATTCTATTCGAATTCAAAATCGTGTCTCACTTAACACCTCGCACACGGCGTCTGGTTCGAGATTTCCGGCTACGGTGATCATGCTGGCGCGCGGGAACTGCGGGAAGCAACGCGAGAATCGCCGGTGAGGCGACGCGCGAAAACACGGGTTTAGTGGCAAGAGCCTCTCTCGTTCTCTGGAGCGGAAGTTATCTTACATCACTTTAAGCTGAGTTCAGATTTCCACTCGAGTGTCATTACATAGACAAGGATGACATGACACCTGAGGAGCACCTAGATGGAAATCTAAACACGCCTTTACATAGGATAGGGATAAGCAGGAGGCTATGGGTCTGTTCTTTTCAGCTAAAGAGCTTGTTCTTGCATGTCCTTCATCTTTCTTCCTTTTCTCTCCACGTTGAAGAAAAAAAAAGGAAAAATGAAAAGTGCAAGTTCAGCTAAAAAGAAAGCCTAATGTGAACACACATAAACATATTTAAGGTGCTTCTTTAAGATTTGACAATTTGCAATCATAGATCTCCTGCCTGGGTACGTAAATAAAAACTATAGTTTATGTGATGTGAACTATAGATTTTCAGCACTGGCAGTAAATTTGGAACATGTTTTGGAACGCATATTCCATATTCTCGATTGTGAAATGCGCCAAATTTTGAGGTAAAATTATCGTAAAATTAAAAATAATATTTTAAAATTAAATATACATATATTAATCAACAGCTTAAGTCTGTTTAATAAAATTACGATATTTGTATATACTGTACATTTTTTAGTAGTTTATACAATTTAATAACAATTTCTATATGCATATATTATATAATTATAGAGATACTACACAATTATAATTACAATTTCTCAGAATAAAAACGATACAAAAATGATATATTTTAAGGACTTGCTGTATTTTGTCTGGAATGTTTGGGAGTTCTCTCTGCATTTTGTCTAGCAATTTCAGGAAAGAATTGCGAGTTATATTTTTGTTTTATAGCAGGTTTAGGAGTTTCCGGTGCTACAACGGGCATTGGTTCACCCCTCACTTTGGCCAACAGTGCTTCAGTTCTTAGCTTTTCACTTTGTTCTCTGAGTAATCTCTCTGCTCTTAATTTTTCTATATTTGTACTACTCTGACTTCTTTCCTCTTTTTTCTCTGAATGTTTATGTTTTTTCTTCTTATGTTTTTTATCTTTATATCTTTTGTGTGTACTGTGCCTTTCATCATTGGAATGAGAACTATCAGAATCATGATGCTTCCTTTTAATGCTCTCTGTTTTTACTTTTAAATGATCTTCAGATTTAGAATGCATAATCTTGAGATACTTCTTTATATCAATCATTGGATCGTTTAAGGTTTTCTTCTTTATTTCTATCTCTACGTCTTTCTCTGTATCCGTTAATCTCTTTGGTAATTCTTCGTACCAATTTTTTTTCCCAGTTGCTTCGTTGGTATCTTGTCCCAAATACGTCAAATATCCAATCTGTTTTTCATATTTCTCTTTCTCTTCCTTCTTTTCCTTCTCATGTTCTGTATTAGGTCTACTGTAATCAATTTTTCCATCTTCAAGCTCAGCAAAAAAGTTGACATGTTCTAACTTCTTGCTAGTAGAATCTTCGGTTGTTGATCGACCATCGTACGTGGATCTTGCTCGGTGTCTTAACAAATCTACTCTTGCTTCTGTTTCCTATGAAAGATAAAAGAATTTTGTAAAAATTAAGCCCATACCTAAAAACGTCAAAAAATAATTTTTGATACTAAAATACGAGATCTACATAATCGAAACTTTCAAAAACAATATCACGTACTGCTTTCTGAATTCGTTCTTTCTTAATCCTCTCTTCTTCTGCAGCTTTCGCTTCGTCTCTCCGTACACGAGCAATATTCTCCTTCGTTCGTACATGCCATCTGAAAAAACACAAAACAATCAGTTTCAAGATATATACACATTGAATGCATCTGTCTTACCTTTTCTTTGGTAAAATATTCATTGTCAGCGAACTGAATATAACAATATAACAAAATCAGATTGTCAGGTTAATTGCTCCAATTGTTTCGGATGATATTCTAATAGATGGATTTAACGAATATAAACAAACTTTCACAAACGCATTAAACCAAGATCTATGACAAGTCTCCCTGTGATTTTCTGATTGGATACAATTTCTGGACATATAGATGAGGTTTTATCTCTTGCAGTTGGCAGCTCGTGAAAGAACGTATTGTGATTTGCTGAACACATCAGACACATTTGCTGTAATCGAAATCGAGCACATTGTGCGCGAAGAATTTTTTTATTTACGTTTCTGTTAAAGAGTAAGTGTATATGTGTTTTTATATTTCTTGTTTGTGACATAATTTGTGTTTTCATTGAAATTTGCCACGACAAGTGCTATTATTTGATTCTTGTATATGATGTATGTGTTTACTTTGATCTAACCGGCATAATAAAAGATACTATTCATGTTTAATTAAACACAAATAGTCAAAGAAAATTAAAATTATTTATAATTGTGTAAAGAAAATTCAGAAAATTGTGTAGTATGAAGTATGAAACGGAGAAAGTATAAAAGGTGTTATAACCTCAAAGTGTAAAGTTGAAGGCACTCATTGCTCATCAATCAATAGAAATTATTAAAAAAAAAACGATACTATTCACGTATAAAAGTTGATATTTTAATATGTTTCTGAAGGATTGTGTTACAAGTACTTTATTTTTATGAATAACAAAATAACATGTATCTAATACATTTTTTAAATACAGATTACAGATTTTACATCATGGCTGCGACAATGCCGATAAATCCCAAGCCATTCCTAAATGGTTTGACAGGGAAACCGGTCATGGTGAAGTTAAAATGGGGCCACGAATATAAAGGTTACCTCGTCTCAGTTGACGGATACATGAATTTGCAGCTTGCAAATACTGAAGAACACATAGAGGGCAATTGTACTGGAAACCTCGGAGAAGTGCTAATTAGGTGTAATAATGTTATGTACATAAGAGGAGTAGAAGAATCAGATGAAGAAGGCGAGATGAAGGACTGAAATGATGAAAATCTAAAACTTTAATTCTTATTATAACCCCTTGTATTATTAAGAACTAATTTAATTCAACTAATAAAATAAAATCATTTTATTTCTTATGAAGTTGTATACATGTATGTAAGTACAAGTAATATTTTGAAGCTGTTTAACATGGTTTTGGTACATTGGTTACTATAGGCTTCGGTCTTGACTTAAACAAGAGTTTCTTTCTCACAATAGCTTTCACAAAGTACTCTGTTTTTGTTGTAGTTTCCTCCTCTATTCTCTCATCTCTCGTATCATGATGTTTCTCCAATACAAGCAGTGGTTTATCAAGTGTTACTTCTTTTCCATGTAACACGTGAATTCCGATAATTAATATAGGTACTCCAGTTTTTGTGAAGTGAAGATCGCCGATTAATTGATCGCCTGGATTATCGATCGTTTCGAATTTTAGATCGCCTTGGAGATCTATAATAGCCCAAGTTTCTATGTTTCCGTCTCTAAAAAGAAACTACTAAAATTTATTTGATATTCAAAAAAAGTTTATTCGATTTTTATAATAAATAAAATACTGATGTAGGAATTATGATTTACCTTTTGATCGGCACAATCATCTTTGTTAGGTTAGGCACTAAAATGGCGCCAAAAATTACGTTCATAAATCTAAGATCTGTTTTCTGTGGCTGAACTACTAGTGTACACTTTTAGAACTTAAAGTGAGGTAGGGTACATGTTTGATATTTGTCGAAAGCGAGAGAGTTCTAGTACAAGAAACAGACTCTTCATGGAGTGGAAACATAAGTATTCCCTAGGAGCTAGTGAGAGAAGTTGCATTGGAAATCAGCGAATTCTGGAGCGCGAACTGTGAGATTGCCTTCGACATTTTTATGCATTTAAAAATCCAATGAGAATGGAAACGTTGCAACTTTTTTGCAATTTTTTTTAAATATACATATTCTTTTCCAGTTGTATTATTTTTCTGTATATTTTTGTATTTGTAATAAATCTATGAAAAAATATGATTGTATAATTATAATTGACAATTAAATAATGATTTTGATTTGATTTTCAAATTCATAATAATGATATAATAAATATACAGAGGAAAGGCTCTTATTATGAGATACCAAAGTAATCATTTTAAGTAAATGCTAGAAGTCTATAGGTAGAAATTAAAAAAATAATAGGTCATTTTTTGAAGGGAATTTAATAAGCTTTAAGATAACGTTATATAAAATTTAATTTAAATTCCATTTTTTTTTGAAAATTAAAGAAATGTAAAAAATGAGCAAATCGCAAAGTCAAAAAATTGTGTTCCTAATATAAGATGCCCCGAGAAATCGATAGTAAAACACAAAATATAAAGTATTGCAATTAAAAGCTTTATTTAATGTTTCTAAAATACAAACAAACAGCCAGCGTGCGCGAAAAATGAACATGCGATAAATTATATCCAGAATTCGTTTTCAGGTAATTGGAATCAAGCATCGCAGATATAGGCTCGACGTTCATTCCGGTTGTCTTTTTTATTATTGTACAATAACATTTATACTTTAGCAACGACTTTCACTGTAACGTAGGAACATAGATTATTTCATATTAGAAATACCTTGGGTATCTCATATTACGATTTCCATGTCTTATGGTTTTACGATCATCAAATCCAACTTCTGTAATTAAACAATTCAACATATCTCGTATTTTTATATTAGTACAACCTTACTCTATCACATGAAGAATTTATTGCTAAATATTTATTTATTAAATAATAAACAAGTTTAAATTTTCATTTCAATGAAAGACATCCAAATTCTAAAATCTTGTTTTACAATGACTACAGCATGATCTAATAATGAATTTTCTACTAAATAGTTTTCAATCCAAGAGCAATAAATTCATGATGGAATCAATAGATAGCGTTTATTAGTTTGGGAAAAACGTCGTTATCTCATATTAGACGCCTATCTCATAATAGAGGGCTTTTCTCTATTATTATCCATACAAAACTAAATTATAAATGTCAAAATCTAAAATAAAATGTCTGATAAATAATTTTGAATAATTTTATTGAATTTGTAAAATTGGTATTATAATCACAAATTAATTATATTTAAAATAAGAGATTTTATAGAATATTAATTTGCACTTGCAAAAAATTTGTGAAAATATTTGACAGATGCAAGGATAAATGTATGTAGGTATGAATAGGAAAATTTAATCATATAAATAGATTGTACTTCAATTTGATATCACGCATATTTGTATTTCTATTTTATTTTCGATTCTCTTCTCTTCACACTGAAGTAAGTACATTGGACGTAAATCACAGCACATCTCCGTTTGAATAAACATTCATACATCATCTGTAAATAGCGTGTACACGTAAAAGTACAAATAAATATTCGTAGGTGTGCTTGTTAATCGAGAATTACTGTCGACGTAACACTGTCATGTAATCCTTTCCGAGTATAGTTAATAATAAAATTTGTGCCTGCGATCACATATAGCACTTTACAGATACACTTATTGTTTTCATTTTGTGCACAGATCTTAAATTAAATTCGCCAAATTTCGCGCGATTTGAAACGTGGAAGTGATACAACATCGATTCAAAAAATATAAATCTCGAAGAATCATATTCATAGTCGTGATTCAATTTGAGATCCGATTTGAGCTAGGTTTGAATCAGTCTTTCATTTGAAAAACACTTTTCAAACAATTTAATAAATCTGATTGGTTCAATTTTTAGTTCAAACTTAGCTGAAATGAGGATCAATCGTGGATCGATTTACGACTGTTTAATACGGATCGAAATGATCTATGACATGAGAAATGAATGAGACTTGTCGCAGGAGGCGATTTGTATGAAATGAGATTCGGTGTTCGATCGTTCCTTTACGCGATCTGATGAGATAAAATCGATATCGGAGTTTGCGATTATCATGAATATTTCACAAACAAGTCCTCTCTCCTTATCCCTTAACATTTACATTCAGGATCCAGGAGCGAGTTTTGTACGTGTATGCAGATATACAGTAATCTTATACATAGCCAGAGCTTTGATTATCTATTCTATGTGATCAATCGAGAATTAGGCGATAAGTTTGGGAAAGATGCGCTAAGGCAATATCGCTCGCAAAATTATGCGTGCTTACATCCGTTTGCGTAAAATGTATATGTGCATGTACAATACGTACATATGAATATATTTATAATATGTACAAAAATCTATTATATATACATATAATAATCTCCTAAGAATAGTACAAAATATTTGAGGAAGATAACTGCGCGGTGACGATTAGAAATAGGAAAGTGATACTTTCATTCATGTTATTCTAGATGTTATTATGCCTCTTTTATTCGCGCTACACTCTAGAAACCTTTAACTCTTTGTACGAAACGTCTATTCTTAGATGAGAAGTAGGAAACTTATTAAGGAGAAGGTGGATAAATTCTACGTGTAATTGTGCTTTGTGGTTCGTTTCCTGTTTGTAAAAAGCGTTGGCCTCTAACGTTAGTAGCATATATACCTTATTTGTAAATTTTCTAATTCTTGATCGTATATCTACGTTTAAGAGAAATAGAATATTAATATATTTTTTTATTGATGGTATTAAAAAAATGCATAATTCTTAAATAATATATCATTACGTAAAGATTTTTTGAAATAAAAAATTTATAAGAATGCTATTTTTAGGACAATTTAATCTTAATAAACATATTTTAATTTGTTCCGATAAAAGATTGAAGAGTTATAAATTTAGTTAAAATCTTTGTGAAACAGATTCATAGAGATTTTGATGCATTCAAAATATAAATCATAGATCATGAATATATTGAACCCTAATTTTTTTCTTTTTAAATTATTAAGGTATGAGAAAAGAGGCTGATTATGGATTCAACGAACTACTTTAGCGGACGGATAGATTTTATGAAAGCGAGAAGAAGTTCCCATAAATGTGGAGAGATCTACATATCAATTCTTTTATCATGATACTTTCGTGAAAATCACCTAGAAAAGCATAATAGTAACAATAGCATTATTTATGCTGCCTCTATTAAAAGCTAATAATAATAGTAGTTAGCTAAATAGTAATGTACGTGCTTTTTATTTTTTTTTGGTCATATGTATCGATGAGTCTCTATAATATAGAGTTTGATTATTCAAGAGTTAGAAATTTTTGAAGATAAAATTTTGAAAGAATGTTTAAATATTTTTGTAAAATGCATTAATATGAGGTAAAGAGAACGAATGAATGAATTATATAATTAATCTTCTATAATATATTAGGTGTTGGAATTAATTCGTAGCGTTTTTTAATGAAAGAATGTTATTTATTTCACATGAGCATTAAAAAATACATTAATGAAAGTACTTCCCATCACTTGTAAAACGCTACGAATTAATTCCAACACCTAATATATCTCTGAATCATTAACATGTTCCATTTGGATGGAGTTTTTTTTTATATCAATATAGAATTTAAATGACTAATGAGAGGAAGGATAATGATATTGGTGATAAGGATGAGATTATTGGTATTATGTTAATGTGGTAATTATGGTATGTAAAATTTCGTTGATTTTGTGAAAACCTATGTATATATAATAACGCCTACATCGATGTATATCATAATATCACTTCGCGAATCAACAGCGTTATTTTAAAAGATTATGCAAAATGACTTAGTAATTACTTCATTAATTACTTTACACGCACGTCAATTCGTCCCGATAATTGAAAACTATTCTTTATAATGATTATATTCACAATTATTAAAGATGATTGTTTTCGATTATTAAAACGAATGTTTTTAATATTTACAAGATGAAAATTTTGCGTTCGCTTAATTTATAAAATATACATATGAGAAGTTTTAAAATGTATAAATCATACAATATTAAAAAATGCAATTAAAATATGTGCTTTTATATTACATAACAACTTATAGTTTTTTACGATTGGTAGTTATGTTCGCAATTTTTTAATGTTGTACAATTCTTATAATACACATTTGCTTTATGTACACAATTTAATTATTGTATATACACAATTATAAACGTAATTTACTCTTAATTCCCTTAACACTTTAATGTTTTGTAGGATCTTTTCACAATTTTTCGCGAGGTATGTTACATTGTAATGACATAACAATTACTTGTCAACTAATTTCTAAATTATTATTTGTGAATTCGATTGAATATATTAATGCGCATTGATGCATGTGAATACTTTTTGTATGTACTGAATAAAAACATATGCATAATCAACAGGGACTCAGACCGAAATTGCATTATAGATACATTATGGATACATTAAAATTTCGGCTGGTTACGATTACGGTTTGAAGATACCTAATTTTCAATTTCGGTGTTGATTTCTTTTTCGATCGATCTCGATCTCAATGATAACGTGACCGTTATGGTACGTAATTACCAAAAACTGAAACCCAAAGGACCGAAAAGGATCGAAATCCAAACAAATATACCGTTATGGTAATCGTTATGGTAAAAAAACTGAAATTAAAAGTTGAATTTAGACTAGGACCGTTATTTAGAATTTTTTCCGTCCGAATCCTTGATAATGGCAAATAGATAATCGAATAAATTAGTAAGATGCTTAATACAAATTTCAAATGTATATTTAATATATGTATATTAAACAATTTATGATAAAGCTTGTTAAGTGCAAACGCAAAGAAAAATAAATATATTATATGTATATATTATTTATAGAGCCCAATCAAAATTCTGGGATCGCGTCAATCGTAGCTAGTTGTCTCCAAAGCACTTCCTCATCACGTCTTATAAGTCAGCGGAACAAAATGAACAGAATCAATTTTAATTAACATTTTCATTTGTTGCTCATTTATTGCTAAAAAGTTGCCAAAGAAAAAAATTGTTTACTCTGCCAGTTTTTTTTAAATGAAAATTCCGCTAAAGGAAGATTAAGTTAGCAGAACGATATGCATATAACAAAGCCAGTCTACTTCAAAATAACGTAGGAATTTATTACTAATTTGTTACTGTCGAAATGTACTAGTTTTGAATCCAATATCTACGAAATAAGTGTAAATAATAAACCCTTAGCGAGCTGGCGGAACAAGATTAAAGCATTAGTAAAAAATTTGTTGCTTGCTTAAAGTTTCACTCTAAGGATAATCTTTTGTAACTTTCTGCATATTGAGAGATTTTCACACCTGTTAATCCTCCACTCTGGAATTTTGTAAGCAACAAATTCGTAACTTGTATGTTTCGAGAGCAACAAATTTTTTATTAATATTTTATTGTTATTTACACTTGTAGGTAATGGATTCAAAACTAGGATATTTCGACAGCAACAAATTAGCAATAAATTCCTACGTTATTTTGAAGTAGATTGGCTTTATTATATGTATATTGTTCCGCTAACTTAATCTTTCTTTAGCGAAACATCATTTAAAAAAAAACTGGTAGAGCAAAAAAATTTTTTCTTTGTCAACTTTTTAACAACAAATATGCAACAAATAAAAAATGTTAATTAGAATTGATTCTGTTCCGCTAACTTATAAAACGTTTCATCCTTCATCATCATCCTACATCGCTCAGCGAATAATCCAGGCTCCAATGTATATATATATATATATATGTATACATATATTCACACACACACACACACACACACACACACACACACAAATTTGGTAGAAGATACACACACACACACACACACACACATATCCTCTATCAAATTTTCATTAATCAAGATGTATATATTTTTACATTTTAAGTTCAATGCATTTAATTTGCAAAAGTAGAGATTTGTCTCAAATTATAGTATTGAGATTTGTTATTATATATATATAATTCGGCCGAGCATAAGAGATAACAGTTGAATTAGTATTAAAATTAGATAAAGTAATAAGGTAATCTACAATAATCCATTTATATTTCTCAAGATGTAACTCTCCAATTACACTAACAATCCAACAAAGAGTTAATCAAAATAGTATACACGCACACATAAGCGCCATAAATGCTTTAACAATTACGTTTCTTACTTTCGGAAAGAGCGTCATGTAAAATACTTAAACGTTTAATGTCATTTTGATAATTTATCATACCTAAATAAAACGTATTTTTTAAAATCATATTTTTTACAAGATAAAATCTTTGTGAAATGTATCATTTCTCGGAATACTAGCTGAAGACTGAAAGATATTCATTTAGTGATTATTAAAAAAATTTATGACGCTTAGTATACTCTCTTTCTCTTTTATATATATTTCTCTAATGTCTTCCAAACATGTCGACAGCATTGAGCATTCGATAATCCGTGACACTTTAACGCCTATGAAATGCATTGCGCGTGACGAAAGTTGGTTACCGCCGATACTATACTTGGAAGACTGACTCGAGATCTGAGATATCATTGCGGTTGAGATTTTCTTCACGTAAACGTACACAAACACAAAAATAAATTACATTTCCATTTCAGTCTAACAATTCCGATCGTTTAGCATCCGATTATGCGGATTTGAAAATTACCCTGAGTGCATCGCTTTCATACTCGACAGAAGGAAGTCTTTTTTTTTGAGTGTACTTCGTTGGAAGAAGATAATATCGATTTAAGCGATCGGTAATCATTGATTCTGTTACATTTCAACTCCGTCGCACGCGTCATCGTTGAACACCTTGTGATTAAATTTTATATTCTTCGACGTATTTCCTCGGGGATATCCGATTCGGATATAACTTTAGGAACGTCTTTTTCGGGGCTAGGACTAGGGCTAGGACTAGGGCTAGGTGAGGAACTTGGTGATCTTGAGCTACTGGAGCTTGATCTAGAGCGTTGCTGTCGCTCCCGTTGCGTCTTGTAATCGTATAAAGGGCCGCGAATAATTTTCAGCGTGGTCTCCAACTCGTACGCGCGATTCTTCAACGTATTGTACACGTCAATGTCAAGACCGATCTTTCGCGCTCTTCTATGAAGCACTATTAGGTGGCGTCTATTCAACACGTCCGGCAGCATGTATTCCTAAGTGAAGATATATGAAGAAAAATCATGATTGATCGTATCGTGTTACGTCCTTTTGCGACATTTTGCGTTGTATAATCCATTTCTGACAATTTGCAATGTTCTGTTATGATTTCAGCTTATAGGTACTTTTTATTTTCTAAAACCAACCTGTCGAGTCACGAGGTAATAAATAAACCACATCATAGTAGTGCCATAAGTGACGAAGTAAGTAATGGGCTCCATTATATCCCATGAGTATTCCCACCAGGTTAATCTGGCCAACGCCCCAAATTGGATAGACATCATGACTAGGAACGTCCAGATAAAAAAATTCGCCTTCTTGTAAGCGGCATTTTGTATCTCTTGCAATTTCTAGAATGATTAAGAGAATGTGAAAACCCCGCGCTCATCATTCACCTTGTATTTTTCTCTCAGTGAAGATAATTTAGCTTCTATCGTATTCTCTAAGTAATTGAGAAAATGAGGCCGGAGATGGAGGAATAGAAGTATCGTGGAAGAAACGGCACCTTTTACCCTACCTTATTATTTCATAAGGAGGGAAAAAAAGACGCGGGAATTTCGCAGACGTTTTCTTCTTACAATGTTGCGTAACAATGAGCGCGATGCGTATAAAAGGGATTAGAAAAGTATCGTTGGTCGCGTGTGCAAAGTGCGACGCGAGTGTGCTAATTAGAACGCTCAAGAATATGGCAATTAAGAAAAACCATAGGCGGAATGTAGTGAGAGAAAACGGACAATGGGAGTGTGTTCGCATTTAAATTTAATTTACGCGCGATGGAAAGCCAATTCATGGGTGCGCCTTTAAAGGCTTTAAAGGCTTACCATTAAATCAATTTTATCCTAACAAATACCGTTCTTCTTTTAGCATACGCACGCGTATGCTGCTTAATCCGTATACCATAAAATGGAATATTCGACATAGAATTTGAAGTAACTTTGATTCAAATTTAAAAAAATGCTAGGTAACAACACACAGGAAATCAGGATATAATCAGTCTAAAATCAGGATATAAGAGATCTACAAGACATTTTGAAGAAGTTTTATGTTCCGATTTTGACATGTCATATAAGCATGATTAAAATTTGAATCAAACTATATAATTTGGGACAAAAGTACCCTATTTAACGGCACCCTATTTACGTTGCGACATAGGACGAACTATAGAAACGTATTTTTACCTGTTCCATGGGTTCCAGCTGTAGTCTAATATTCTCCAGCTCGGCGATAACAGATCTTTCCATGTCGACATGGTACTCCCGCACGTGGAATGCCTCGTACAACTGCGCAACGAGCGCTTGTACATCTCCGAGTTTCTGTAAATCCTCCTGTGAAACCGGAAGACATACATGTCGATACTTGCTGAACACGGTTCGACAAGGGAAATCCCGCGTGACTCAAAATATATTACCGATAAAATATATTATTACGCTTGAAGAAATATTACTAAAGCTTTTAGTCAATCAAATACATTACAATTGATGTACAAATAAATTAAATTAAAGTACATGTCGCAACTACGCGCTTCGCAGGATTAAGCTAATAAAAGATATCGTTTTTATTTGATAACTCACAGTCGTGCACCTTTCTCGTAACGGCGGTGAGACAATGTATTCGTTATCGTTTATTAATAATTTGAAATCCTCTTCTAAAAGCGATTCTATCGTGTTGCTGGAAGCTATCCTGACCCCATCTGAAAAAACGATTAAGATCTTTATCTTTGGGATATTATGCAAGGACTTTAATCTGATTTCCAATTTCTCTGACGTAATGAATGAATTAGCTGAAAAAATGATTTGTACGGCGTCTTACCAAGCGACGTTATGCATGCTCGATCGATGCCACGATCCTCTGTCTTTAGCATATCTAAAAAATTGCCGACCGTGTGCGTTATTGGCTTCATGGTGAACGAGCAGTGTTCCCTCCTGGATGGAAGAGGTACCGTGATTCTGGGAAGTCCTCGGTAATATGCCACGATGACATCCGAACCTGCGTTAATATATATTTATGTATCACATATTTGCTTCGCGTAAAGGCACAGATATACAGGGTATTATATCAACATATGTTGATCGACCGATTATTTCATAAATGTAATATATATTTTATGAATGTAATCGATTGATCATGCATGCCTGATAGAGAAGGCAATCCAATATACTGACCTATATAGTTGATATAACACTTTGTACATAGAGTTCTCTCAAAGCATATTCTACATTTTGCAAAGTCATTTTCTAAATAGGTCACTCAATTCTCATAATTAATGACTTTATGAATTATGAATGAGTACACGGAACGGTTTTGTACTAAAGTATCTAAACATTTAATTAAATACAGATCCGAAAATAATTTTATTCTAAATATTAATGTAGAGCGCTAAAACTGGCTGTCAAAACGCTTCGCAACATTGTTCATTATGCTTAAGCGTTCTACGTTATTTTAATTAACAAAATTATTTTCATATGTATGTATTTAAATTTTTAAATACTTTAGTAAAATCATTCTTTCCGTGTAATTATCATAATGAATTTTCGCGTAATTAGCGAAACTCGTAAAAGTGATTATGAAACTTTGAGCAAATATTTGTTTATAACACATTCTTGCTTTCTCCTATTCATTTTTCTTTTCTTCCTCAGATTTTCCGTGTTAATTACTTTTCAAATCTTTAGTATTGATAACTATTCCGTTCCTATTTTCTAAATTCTTATTTGATTGCATGTATCACGCGGACTTTGACGATTTGGATTTACACATAAGAGAAAGATGCGTGCGTGCATCGCTTCGCGGATATTTCGCGGATATTTCGCGGATATTCATTGTCAAAAGTTCGGATAAGAAATGTTCTAGTTTGAAATTCCGCACTACGTATACTTAAGCCTACTTTTCCACTCAACAGAATCAAACTACCATGCAAACCAATATTCTTACACAGCATTATTTTTACTTATAAATAGTATCAACTTAAATTGTTAAAATATTGGCTAATTAATATTTGAATCAAGTTATCTTTGGCAATTTGATTAAATAATATATTATAATTATATATTAATTTTATGTAATAATTAAAATTATAAAGTAGTTAGAACGGAACATAATGTTCCGGTGAGACAACAGAGATGTGCAAAATGCGCAATTATAAGAATATGCGTTAACATTAGTTACACACTAGATACTTGCTTCGTATTATACATATGTACGTCATACCCTGCATCGTGTACCTACGAAATAAGTCTAGAAAATATTTTCAGTTATGATAAATCAAATTGTGGGGGATAGTCTTTTGATAAATAGTCCTATTTTTTTTAAATTAATTGATCTCAATAATTGACGAGCAATATTGCAAATGTAATTATAGAGAATAAGATAAAATTTTAAATTTAATAAGAATATGTCTCTCAATTATTGCCAATATAAAATAATGTAACAAATTCTCTATAATAAAATTGATTTAATAAAGAACTTAAACAACTATGGAATCATTATGTGTCTCTCTTCAAGCCATACAATTTTAGTCTGAAACATTTTTGCTTACCGGATTCAATTTTCGATATATTTCATTACTTGGTTTTAAATGGATCTGTATATTTATCTTCCTGAATCTTTCTGAGCACCTATCATGGAAAAAGTCGATCTGAATTATTCAATTATTTCCTAGATTTCTATTTTCTGAGAAACCGGAATAATTCTGACTGGAATTCATTCCAATATGCTTCATGATGGGTACTCAGATATTTTTACAATACTTAATGGTCCAATATGTTAAATGTAAATACACTCATTGAAATCTATCTCATCGTTCATTAGAAACAAAAGTTTTTGCAAAACGTTCAAATAAACCTATATACTTTTTTATTTTTGACAGGTTTCCTAAGCTTTCCCGGATAAATAAGTTTTCTTTCATGAATGTATGAATTTTCAAAATGATGATTCTAAAAATTTTAGACTTGCTTTTTTCATTCTGATAATGTCCTTAATTCGTAAATATTCTTAGAAATATTACACAGTGCATTTTTCAAACTAGCAAAAAAACATTTGCGGGGGTCGACAAAGTGTATCGTTTCCGCGACTTTGCTCGCGTGATAATCGCGCAATCGAGAGCTGGATTGTATTAACCTGGTTACGAGCCGTTGATATGAGGAAGGTATTAGAGTGTGGAGAACGGAATGGGACGAACCGCGGATCTTTGCCGTTGTAAGCAGAACGGAACCGAGCGTTAATCCGTCTGCGCTAACGATGTTTGAAAATGCATCTTTTGACGCAAAAATTGTTTTTATAGGTTCCTTAAAATTTGTTGAAGTCGTACTAATTCAGTAAAGTAAACAAATAAAATTAAAGACCGTACCACCTTGAAATATTAAGAAAGAAACTGCGAAGGATACAGATACATGAAATGAGATCATGAAAGAAAATAAAAACGTTATTTGATAAAATAAATAAATAAATTTTGAAAAATAATCCATAGCCCAATGTATTTACAAAATAAAAAAAAATGTTACATAGGAAAAACAATTTTGACGGGAAAATGATATATTATATATTTCAATCTAGAATTATGATAGACATGCGAATTTCTCATATTTGACACGGTAATAAAACGAGATAATGTATGAAATCGACGTTTATGATGGATAGATACGCGAAAGGATTTATCGCTTTAGATCAAATAAATCTACTGTAAATGATGAGAAGTTTATAATATATTTTTGAATAATGCTTTTAGTCAATATTTCCTTAATAAAATATCATTTTTTATCTGCAAAATATGTACAAATATTTTCTATTTTAAATGAAGCTTATTTTTTTGAACAAAGAGAAAAAATATTTTATCTTTTTGCATTAATTTCGTTTTAGACGTGTTACGATGTTACAATAATATTTGTTAAAATAACATTTGCTATATAAAAATGTATACAACAATATGTTGTCGTGTTTATCGTGTGTATAAAATATGGTTATTTACAATATTATTTATATAAACGCATAAAGAACCATCGATGTACCACTTCGTTCACAAATTTCGCGGTACGTAATCAGTGATTGTTTGTCATCGAGAGTTTTCGTCCCGAAAGGGAAATATATATACATACATATATATACATATATATATATATATATATATATATATAGAGAGAGAGAGAGAGAGAGAGAGAGAGAGCGATAGATAAGATTCCTCAATCATTCGGAGGTGTGATCACCGTAGAAGTAATCAGTAGCAATTGGTAGCCGTAACTTCTCAGGTGGGAATTCGGTGCCATGTTAATTGTTGTTGTTCCTTAGGCGAATACAGGCAACGTCCGGCAATTAGTACACCTCTCTCCACGCAGACGATGCATGGCGATGTGCATCGCTCGACGAGTAGGTTGGTACGCAGATGGAAGAGGCAAGAAATTTACCACCACCTAGCCATTCGTCTCCCTTCTTTCACCGATCGCAGTGTGATGCGGTGGTGAAGTTTTCTGTGCCGCCACAGTCTACCATAAGATCCTGTTCAATTAATAAGTGACGTGACCGTGGAACCAAGTCGACATTGCAGTTGCAGTTCTTTTTTTTGTGACAATATCCTAAGCTTCTTTGAGTTTCTCTAGACTTGCAATCAAATTTGCTCTCAGATCTATTCTCTGGAGATGTACGACTGACGAGCGCCCAGGGAAATTCCCGAGGGTAGGTGCGGATATTTCATAATACAGCTGGATTGACACTGTTCAATTTATCTCGGCCTTTCCAAGAAATGATGCCGTTAATACCTGAGTAATTGCTCAGTGGGACTCGTGTGAATTCCTAAGATAATTAATCGAAGGATTTAAGGGAAGAAAAAACCGGAACCATAGATCATTGTGTGAATTTTATCGCCACAGTCTACTACAATATCCTGTTCAATTAATAAATAGAATGAGAGAGTTCACTTTCGGTATGATCTTTTAAAAATTTTCTACAAATTTATTCCATTCTTGCATTAAATCCAAGTTAAGATATTTCAAATAGTTTTGCGCGTTATTAAATTTAATCACAGCTGCTTTTATGAAATCTGGTTTACTTGGAAAATATTACACGCTCCGAATACTTAACTACGGCGGACCAAATATGTGTACAGTTGTTAAAATGAAAAGAAAACGTATTAATTTTAAATTTCTGTAAATGTGTAAATGTAGTTATATTATTAATATGCAGCTGTGAAATTCAATAGCTGAAATATATACAATATACGGAATAAATATGAAAATAAGGACGATTTAATTCACTATAACTTTAATCTCAGCTACGTAAAGGAGTCTCTAATTAAATGTATAAGCTTTTCAATAAAATAATATTTTTTGCAATAAGATGCATAAATTAAATCTTTGTAAAGCAATTCTTTTATATTTTAATTCAATTAAAAGAGTAAGGAAAATTCTACCTGGAAAATTGTAAGAAAGTCTTTCGTACACATGCATTCACTTTTTTATTCTTTTTTTAATTACCGTATAACTTTCAACAAAAACAAATTGTGAGAAATTTACGCGCCGGTGATCGTCTAGAAAGTCTTAGTCCTGATGACATGGAAACATTTTATCAAATCGGACGAAGGAAGAAATGATATTCTTGTAAAGCGATATAAGAATTAAATTTATGTATGAGAAATATTATCGAAATTATTTATTATACAATAATTTCATCGTTCTTTCAGAATCTGTAATTCCTACATTACGCTCTTCGCGATAACTGATAAAAAATTCTCGAGGTCAAACCTTTATTAATTTAACTGATAATTCACATATGATTGACACACTGTAGTTTCACTTCCTCTTTTGGTAATAATGCCGTATTATGCTTTATCAGATGTTATCTCATATATATAGTGATTACAGTCGGCGACATTTGAGATATCTCGATAACATGGATTACTATCATAAAGGTATTACGTTTCCTCAAACAATATATTAAGTTACAAAAAAAATGTTTCAAATTTTACATTTGCACATACTTTAATATATGAAAAATTATAACAT